TATATATATATATATATAAATTATTAACCTCATCACCCCAAAGGCCTCAAGTGTACCACTTACGGCCAGCTGAATATTTGGAAGAAAAGAATGTGAAAAATACAATGTACAAGTGATGAATTTAGTTTACAAAAACTGAATTTATATGGATCTATGTATGCGGGAAGAGACGGTAAGCTGAAGCAACCTCGTCATAGCTTTTTTTTTTTGAGTTGGATTAGTTTTAATCGCATTTTCGTAACTGTATCAAATCATAATTTCTGTTTCTGCCGTATATATTTCTTCTTCTTAAATATGCAACGCTCACGATGCCGGACTCTCGGATTTTTATGTAACTTTGCCAGCAGCTAGCGATTAATGGAACACGTATGTTGTCAAATTTAAAGCGCTTTTGACAATTCGAGGGAGAGCCACGAGCAAACATATTAAATGTTGAAATGTCGCCATCGGCCGTTAGGCGGGCACGAGCAAGGGGTGGAGGAGGCGGATCGTCCGAACTGCGCCGAGCACCCGTAGGCACCCAACCGTTGACAGCAGAGTCTCACCAGCCCAAGTGCGAAAATAGATTTCTGAGTAGTTGTCTGGACACTGGATACCAAAAGAAGTAATAAGCGTGTTGTTTCCAAGGAGTACGGTTATTACAATACCGACAAAGGAGGTCACGTTTTCATTACAAATATTCAGAAAAATATAACTTAACTCGTTAATAAATATAACTAAAATCGTAAATAAAATATAACTAAAATCGTAACTTGAAAGCAAATTAATTTAATGGTATACTTTTATAATTTAATTTTTTCTAAATATTTTCATTTAATGTGAAAACATTTCTAGATTTCAAAGTGTTAAATTGTTTCTAACAAGATGAAAATGCGAGGTGTAGAAAAACAGCTGAAATGCAGCACATCCAAATATTGTGTTCGACCTGGTTTCTGGTCAACTAATCTAAAAGCCGAGTATTGCACTTGAGCCGGTATGAAGCTGCTGGCATTGGTTTGGGTTGACGTTTCGTCCGGGGCTGACTCTTTTCTGCTCAATGCTGTTCTGCTTCATTACTGTTTTCATCGAATCGTGTATCGTAACTCTCAGAAAACTTATATTCTTAATCGGCATTTGAGCTGGACTTTTCCACTAGAATCTTGCGTTTCTTGGTAGCTTTTGTCCTATAATCTTCTTTCCAGTACCTTGAAAATTCTCTTAATTTTCAGCTCTTTCATCTCTTCTTGTTTCCGTTTCTCTCTTTCACCTCGAAGTATTCTACCAAAATGGGCTGTGAGATTTGGCGCCGACCTACACGTCCGATAGTGGGGTTTTCCCCAACCAGGTATCTCCAACCAGCGGAGAACCGCCTGACGGGCTCTAAGTTCCCCACTGGTCTTCCGACATGTGTAGTAGTGTAATTCGTGTAAGTGTATGTAAGTAAGGAGTGAGAATAGAAAGAAAGATTGCGCGTGGTCCTTGGGACGTTTGTTAGGGTACCTCTACGCTATTCACCTGGTGTTGGTCGGAGAAACCACGGAAAACTACCGATTAGTCCGGCCGCCAGAATTCTCCTCCAGACAGCGGCTGAGTTCGACCTAGCTATCTAGCTAGTGTCGAAAATCCTGGGACTCGAATCATAGGTCTTCCCGGTTAGAGGTACATTGACTGAGCCACCTAAGCCGGTCCCAGGCATCCGAAGTGACGGGTTGGTATCGCGGTAAATATGATCTTGTTGGCTCTACACAATTTTCTAAAATGTAGCGTGAAGTGAGACTTGTGTCCGTCCAGGAAAACTATGACCGATCTTTCTACCCTCCTGTAATTCAAATCAATGAAGTACCGTAGAACTCCGGTATTCCGAACTAATTGGTGGTGGTGTCTGTTCGGATTCGGGTGTGTTCGGATTATCTGAAAAAAATGTACCGTACATATACAAATACATCTACAGGATTACAAGACACAATGAAACGGTGCGTGCGATGTGAGAAAATGGCAACGAAGCATAGCGGCATAAGGAATGCTGCCAAGAATGGAGTACAGTACGAACCTACCCGATCGCATGAGGTAGTAGTTGCTACATTGTTTAGAAAAGTTGAAGCCCAATTTGTGTCGCTGCTGTTAACGGGTATTCTACGTTCAGTATTCACAATTGGGTTGACTTACACTGTGTTCATGCTATTTTGTTCATAAATTAAGTTAATACAAATCAGGTGTTTTGTTTATTTTTCCTCCATCCCGAATTTTGTTCGGATTATTCAAAATTTCAGATTAATGAGGTTCGAATTAGCGGGTTCCTCTGTAGTTAGGAAAATATTAATAAAAAGCTGCTCTGGTCATTTTGCCGCATATGTTCTTACCTACGTTTCAATCGCTTAGAGCTGCTTTCGAAACTGTCGTCCTTTCGTACGTAAAACAGTAGTGCTACAAAAGTACGTTCTTTCTTGCGTTATTTGTAACGGCTCCACAATATTATATTACTAAATGATCATGCGTAAGTGTTTCTGATCAGCAAAATGTTCTCAGTGCCGAGACTCTAACTGGTTCATTGAGTCGCCATGTGCTTTAACGCTACATCACACAGGCGCTGTCCAGAACTTACTTTTACCAACTCTTGAATTGAATTGAATTGAATGCCTTATTTTACGTGGCGAGACTCAGGGCATGAGGTCTGACCACGCAAATTTCGCTACGCTCCTTTCACCAACTAGCAGAGAAAGGAGGTATTTCTTGGTCGAGAAACAGGCGTCATTTAGGCTTGAGGATCTTTTACACGCAAGTAAATCTACTAACATGGGACAGCCGGCTTTACTTCCCCTTCCAAGGATTTTTTCGCCCTTAACAATCCACGGCTTCGATCGGTTTTGAACCCGCCAACTTGGGTACAACACCGCCACCATCGCCGTGCGCCCCCAGTCTTAAACTGTCTCTCCCATTATTTCCAACGCTTTCGAAAATTCAGAGGTCAAAGGAAATTACCCCCTTTTTTTTAGACATTTGTTCTAATCGCGGGAAAAAGTTAAAAAAATTAGTGCCGTAAATAAAAATTGAGGAAATGTTTTTTTCAATGAATTGCATTAACTTTAAGAAAAAACAATGTTAAAGACAAAATTCTGTTTTTTTAAATATTACATGACTTTTTTAAAGATCACATTTATTAAATCAGATTGCATTTAACATTAAAATCTGTATAATCAATATACTTTTGCAATGTTAATTTTTTTCAATCTTCGAAAATGCAGACAGTTCGCTGAAAATGGAACCAGCACCATCTTTTTTACCGTACTTTCATACGTACAAGAAGAACATTTAAAGAAAAAATGGAACGTTTTTTTCCCTTTTAAATTAAAAAATTCATATATTTCTCGCAAAATTACGCGAAAACTACTTATATGTTCGAAATATAGTACAACATATCCTTATTTTAAGATCTATCTTGAACGACAGATTTCATTTAAGAAA